GGTACGTAGTAGTAGTGCGACGAGTAGAAGAAGTAGTAATATAGTAGGAGGAGGTAGGTAGATCTCTCACTGTTCTTCTTAAGAAAAGAAAGTAGGGGGGGGGGGGGGATCTGATTGAGGTGTTTAAGTTTGCAAAGGGAATTGATATTGTTGATGTATCATCTTTTTCTTTCATATTTAACAGTGAGAATAGCAGGACAAGGGGACACAAATATAAGTTATCATTTTCCTAATCTGAAAATGTATTTCCAAACATACTTACCTCCACTGACACTTATAGCTATTTCTCAATCTCCACCTTTGCCATCTAACATTGTGTTCGCTTGCTCCAGTCTTTACATACCCCACTCGACTGCCTTCGGCAATTTCTAATTTGCAAAACTTTATGCCAGCCCTCACACACCCTCTATGCAGGTACTGTATATAAGCACTGTATGCAGACAGTAAAATCACTTTGTCAAGACTTACCCCATCCTGGTTACTAACACTGCCTCTTAGTGGAGAAAAAGGGAAGGAGAGTGTCAGTGGAGGTAAGTATGTTTCCAAATACATTTTCATATTGGAAAAATTATAGTTTCCAAAACATATATACCTCCGCTGACACTTATAGCTAGAATCCCACATTGAGAAGATGGAGGGGCCAGTGAGGGCATAGATCATACAGAAAGCATCTGCAGAGAACAAAGGTGTACCACAAGAAGTGGAGTGGGGAACACTGCACTACATCCAGAAAAAGTATGCTCTTCACATAGAACTACAGAAAAGTGAAAAGGGTGGAATATGACACAAGTATGATGGGCCAGCCCCAATCACACAGCTGAGGTTCCACAACTTTGGGCTGGATTTAAGGGGTCATTGTACCCATATCCCAAGTTGGTGGCCAGGGCAGTTGGACCGCAAATATCTTTTTACATATCTTTTTTATAGGATCCCCACCAGTAGCCATGGAATGATGTGTTCCGAACAACTGGATTTATGAAAGAAAGAAAGCAACACCAAAGTGGACAATCCTTCTGATCAATCTGAAGAAGTCCAAAAGGCAACATCCCAGATTTGGATTGATAGGATCATATGCCATACTTCACCCAAGGTCCAGAACTCATCTGGTCTGGATTTACAAACAGTCATCTTCACTCCCCAACCAAGTGGGCAATGAGAATTCCACTTACCCATGGAATTATGGAGAGGATGTGGAACGCTGTCCCACCAAGGGCTGAAAATGAGGCCGTGTCACAATCGGATTTTTGAGGAGATAGTGGACCCCCTGCATGAACAACCTAAGACCTGACAGTGTTCATAAGAGAGTCCAAGCACACCCCCACCGGATAGCTAAGCTTCAAATCTGGACTGGTTTTATGAGTAGGCTCCTGTGTAGGTTGGTGCTGCTCCGGCCAACATCTGGGAAAACTTCCAGGGACCCAGGTAGGAGGGTCCCCAACTTTGCACTATTCTCCAAGAGTGCAGAAAACTGAACACTCCAAAGAAAAATTCTCTGTCCACCACCCCAGGGACTGGGAACTGGGTGTGGTAAGGACTCCTTAGCTCCATTAGCAGAAATAAAGGGAGGAAATATGTGGTGGGGAGTTCTGAGGAACAGGTCTCCAGAGACAGTGCAACAGGTGAACCATGTTCCCTAAGTTTTTAAAAGCAAACCGAACTTCACTGATACATCTCTAAGATCAGCAGGGACCAGCAAAATCCCATTTAGCTTTACTCGTGATAGTCCATGAGTATCGGTTTATAGGATAGTATTTTGGTACAATATTACCATCGAGAATTGCTTTCAGATGGTCTTAAGGAACACCTCATCTCAACAAAGCCCATTGCAACCAAGAACTGATATAAAGGTTGCTAGTGCGGAATTTAAAATACAAGCATAACCAAAGGGGAAAACTCGCCACTGAGTGGAATCCAGAAGAAATAAAGAGGGACCCTAGAAAAAAATGAGAAAAAAAACAACAACTATAAGTCAGGTAAGAAAGTTACTCACCTCCTTGTTAAAATCTTGCAGAGGTAGTCAACACAGCCACAGGGGGAAGACGAAATCCCACCAAAGAGGAAACTGCCAGATCATGAAGGTAATGAGACACGAAAGTGTCAGGAGAAGTCCACATACTGGCACGCAAAATATCCTCCAGAGAACAGTTCAACTGGGCAGCCAATGACATCGATAGATGCTGAATCTGGTGAGAGGTGACATGGAGCATATTGCGATCATTAATAGATAAACCCGAACAGGCTATGTGAATCAATTTCCAAAGCCACCTGGTTAAAGTAATGGATGATAAATCCCTGGACACTGCAGGATCCCAATGAATAAAAAGCTGGTTCTTAGGGCCCCAAAACTGTTCCGTATGAACCACATAACATCTAAGTGCTCTGACGGGACATAACAAATGATCCGGGTCTGATCAACTGTAAAGATGAGAAATTCCAGGTAAATGAATATGAGAAAAAGATTTGTTTCCTTCTTTAGCAGTGAGAGTTTTTGGGAGAAATGATTGGTCATGATAGATCAAAACATAAGTAGAATGATAGAGAGTCCATTGAACATAAATGGCAAATAAATCAGAATGGCAGAGTCTGGAAGCT